GTTCAAGCTGTTGCTCCTCCTCCATCCTGCCTTGGGCAGACTTGATGGACATCAGCCTGGTTCGTCTGCCAGCATGGTTTCTTTTTTAAACAGTTGTTGTTGAAGAGGTGCTTGATGCGGACGGGGAAGGAGAACTCAGTGTCTCCGAGTTCACCAGAGGCTCTCGGGTGACATGCCGGGAAAGATCTGCCCAGACGCCACAGGTGTTTTTTGTTTGGTTGGTTTTCTGAGGGAGGGTGAGGGGACATCTGTATCTTTGTTTTGAACAAGACGCCTCCGTCGCACGCGCATCACGCGCCCATAGCCATAAAGGTCTGGATCTACCTATGGCAATGTCTATCGCAGAATCGGAGCTTGAAGATACCTTTTGTAAATATGCCTTCGGCCTTCCCGATTTTGCACCTTGAAACCCAGTGGTATGGAGCTTTCGACGAGCACGTTTGAAGGCTTTGCCGGACACCAGTGCAAAAACTTACCGCCATTGACAATGTCGATCATCGATTGCAGATGATTCGTGTAGATGTCGCAGCATTCGTGGAGTTGTTGTCTTAAAGAAGTTGAGAAACCTTACAGCTGGGAGCAGCCACCCGGCCACCCCCCTCCCCCCTCTCAAAGCTCAAATTCTTGTGGGAAATTTAAGCACGCCTCATAAACTTTTTTCTGGCAGAGGCATGACGGAGGTGAAGGGCGAGGCGAGCACGGACCCACCATGTTTCCGGAGGGTGTCAGTGTATGGATAGGTGTTGCTGCGTCTTGCTCACGTCTCCGTGACGTGATGATTTTTTCAAAGGCGACAGCCCGGGGAATGCTGATCGCGAAGAAGAAGGCGCGTGCAATGTGAATGCAAGGCGAACATCTTAGTTTGGACGCCCTATACCCTAAACCCTAAACCCTAAACCCTAAACCCTAAACCCTAAACCCGGCTCAATGTGATCCTTAACATTGCCGACTTCGGCCAGGCAGAAAAGTTGGAGAAGCTTCTGCTGAAAGCGCTTCCAGCCGATGCTACAGCCGAAGGCCAGAGCGGCCTCCTTAGTGGTTTGTGGCGGTGCAGTTACCCTAAACCCTAAACCCCAAACCCCAAGCCCTAAACCCCTGGGTGAAGTGGCGAAGGCGACCGGCTTGCATTGGAGGCCGCACACAGTGGCCACCACCTTCAGCAGCACTGCAAGCCTTTGCGAGCCGGTGTACATTGGTAGAGTACCCAAAGAGCCCAATGCCCCTTAATTAAGGAATATTCCTTAAAGCACAAGGGTATCCTTATTATGATTTAAGGAATATTCCTTAATTAAGGGGTATTGAGCTCTTTGAGTATGTGCCGCTTCTGACATTGTGCCTGCGAAGAAGGAAGCGGAACCCGAAAGAGTTGGTGATCTCCTTGAAACGCAGATGTGCGTGGCTTAGTTGGCGGTCATGGAACCTGCACCGTTCACAAGGAGCCAGAAGAGTGAGGACTGAGAAGAAGCGGGATAAATGTATACACAAGACGTGGCCTGCCTCGGCATGCGAGCTGGAATTTCAGCGCGACACGAGAAGAGAAGTTGTGCCTTATTGCGAGCCTGATTCCTGAAGCCCGGTGCAGGCAAGTTCGCATCTATAGCCTATGGAAAAGGAAGTCCAGGGGGGCCCAGGGGGGTCCATACAAAGCAGGTCGGTCCAATGAGTCCATAGGAGGGACCATCGGGAGGTCATAGCGATTTGCACAATCGTTCATAGGGGTCATCATAGGTCAGGGGTCGAATCAAGGGTAAAGAAGTCCAGAAGCGGGGGGCAGAAGCGGGTCGGAGGTCCACCGGCTGGAGCTGGCCTGAAGTTGCCATGTCCTGCAAAGTGCGGCTGTCCGTAGGTAGACTTTCGTCGCTTGGGGGCGCAATGGGAGGGTCTCAAGGGGGGTCCCCTCTGGAGGCCCATCAAAGATGCATAGGGGCGTCCAGTAGGGAGGCCCATGAGAATGCATAGCCCGCAATCCAAAAAGGATTTGCAATGGGCCCAAAGCGGGGTGATCCATATAGGGGGCAAGTCCCCCAACAGGGGTTTGGCATTGTTTTGGCCGCAGCTGTGTGGGGGTTGGCCCGAAACCCAGGAAATGCTGGCAAAGCCGCGGGCCAAAAAGGAGGGGGGGCTTCAATTTTGCAATAAACACAATTCAGGTTGCGACTGATGGCGGGTTTGGGTTGCCGGTATGGACTTCGCAGGAACGGGCCGTCTGAAAACCGACGACAAGCAGATTTTCTGAGTGTGTTGAAAAACATTCATGGCAAAATGTCTTCCCTGTGGTCTTCTTTATGGGACACACAAGAAGAAGTGTTTTTGCTTTGTGATTGAGATGTTGTGGACACAAAGAGGCAAATGCATGCAGCATGCATTCCGCATAGAGTCGGCACAGATTCGGCATAGATTCAGCAGAGACGCAGGCCACAGCTATGCGAACGAAAATGGCACACATCCAGCGTACATCCGGCATACATTACATTCGCCATAGATTTGGCAAAGATTCAGCACGGGCACACAGCACAAATGTGTGCAGACAAACCTGAAGCGGCACACGTTCAGTGCACCTTCGGCACACGTTCGCAATAGATTCGGCACAGATTCAGCACAGACACATGGCTCACAAATCTGCAAACCGAGAACGGCAGCACGCAACACACTCTCATCCGTTCGCAGTAGTTTCGGCATAGATTCAGCATTGTACATTCAACACAAGGCGAGAGGACACAAGTCTGTCGAAAACAACATGCATTCAGCACACATTCAGTATACGTTCGGCAATAGCTTCGGCACAAGTTCATGAATCGCGCATGCGCGCTCTTTCGATTGTTCGCCGGTTCTACGTCGGAGAAGCGTCGATTCTTTAAAAGCCAAGTGGCCCGAAAAGAACTGAAAGAGCTGTGCACATTCCTGTGGGCCCCTCCTGGCCAGTGAGGTTTTTGGTTATCAGCACCGTTTCTATGACGAATCCATTGCGAATGTACGCCGCGTCCGCGCCGTTCGCGATGCCGAAGTTGTTTCGCTTGGCGAGCACACCAATTCCACGTTGAATTTGGACACCCCGACACACCGACCTGAGCCGCATCTTGCCACGAAGACTGCGATGGTGTTAGCCAATTTTTGCTGGTCAAGCTGTAACTGAGCCAAAAATGCGTTTCAAGAAGCAGCATGCATCTGGGGTCGCGGTGTCTAGACGCCATATGTGGAGCAGACATGGTTGCCACATCCATGTGGCTGTAGCGCAGGCCTGGTGAACGAAAGAGGTGTCAACCAATGCTGCAGTTGAACTTACGTTTTTAGAAGCTGCGTGCGTCTGGCGCCGCTGTGCCTGAATGCCATGGAACGCGCTTCCGCCGGGTCGACGCACAATGTGGCTGTGCTGAATGTAGGCCGAATGTATGCTGAATGTTCGATTTGCATACTTGTGGCCGGTGTCTACGCCGAATCTGTGACGAAATGTGCCGAATGTATGCCCAATGCATGCTGAATCGATGCGTTTTCCACGAGTTGCAACCCGTCATACAAAAATCACGCGCTCTTGTTGCAAGATCCTTTTTGAAAGCACGGCTTTTCTGGCTGGATTCGTGATTTTTGTCCTAGGTCTGGGCTTGCAGGAAAGGCCTTCAAGTCCTGTCAGGATCACAAAACCACAACAAAAACCGCCTGAAAGTTTGCCCTGGCGATTTCTTGGCTGAAGTTTGATGATTGAGGCGAGGTCTTGAGGAGGCAGCCCGACTGCGCAGGGCTCTTGGAACTCTGCTCCAATCAAATCCCATGCTCTTCTGCACTCTGCTGAATACCTTCGTATGGCACCTACGCAGCGCCAAGCGCAGCTACAGGATTCTGGCCCAGAAGCCCTCAACCCTCAACCCTCAACCCTCAACCCTAAACCCTAAACCCTAAACCCTAAACCCTAAACCCTAAACCCTAAACCCTAAACCCTAAGGCCTGGATGAGATACACAAGCAGTGCTCGGTGGCGAAGTCTGTGGCGAAGGATTTGGAGGTGCCCTGAGACATGTGGAGCTTGACGCGACCTTGCATGATGTGGGGGTTTACGAAAATAGGGGGACCTCTAAAATAGACCCCCAAATAGTAGGACTCCCTTTATGATTAGGGCATGTTAGGACCCCGAGAATGTACCGCTAATTTCGGAATTGTTTCATGTGGGTTCCGCACATGCTTTCCTCACGAGCCGAACCGCGCCTCGGGAACCCCAGAAGTCCAAGTCGCAGTCGCTACGCAAAGCCGCGGGTGAGGAGCTGCTCCGAAAGATCCGCAAGAGGCCGGCGCTGCAGCTCAGTTCAGCCGTGGCGACGTGGAGCAACCTTTCAAGGTCAGGCTTGGACGTCATTCAGCCGAACTTCGACTTCGAAGTTCACTGAGGGCTGTTGGGTTTAGGGTTTAGGGTTTAGGGTTTAGGGTTTAGGGTTTAGGGTTTAGGGTTTAGGGTTTAGGGTTTAGGGTTTAGGGTTTAGGGTTTAGGGGGGTCTCAAGCCTAAGCTCGGCCCCAAAGTCGGCTAAAATCGGCTGAGTTGCGCCGATTCCGGCAGATGGCCCAGTGCGTGGCTTCGCTGGGGCTGAGGAAGGTCCTGTGATTCTGGTCACATCTCCCACTAGAATATGTTCATGGCCAGTCGTTACAGCCCTGCCAGACCTGGCATAAGTGGTTGTCAGATATATGTCATCTGCAACATCATGGTATGCACCAGACGTGCAGGATGTTTCTCAGGCGCAGCCAGGTTTAATAAACAATGTTAACGCACCAGGCTGGTGCTTGGGCAAAAGCTCAATCACCTGCTCGCTTTAACTTAAACAGGCTTCTCGAAGCTGTAAGCCTGAAAAAGTGCAGCCATCGAGGTCCAACGGCTCTTGTTGACCTTCTGCTCAGAGATACTCGAAAACTGTCTTTTGCACGCCTGTGGGCTGGCCGTGTTCAGAGCGTCAAGCCCATTCACAGAGTTGCCCAGTTCCACGAAGTTCCATGTTTCCCATTCTATCGAAGCAGCCATGAATGTGAACTTCCGCGTCGTGGTCGGTACCGATCTGTCAGAGAGAGTGCAGATTTCCACGGCTGGCTTGCAACTTGTGCCTCGTGTCACAAAGTGGTGCCGGCTGCAGCGGTCGCACTCTCGCGCGACACCTTGGAGGGCTACGAATGCCAACGTCGAGGACACGGCAGGTATGTGGCTGTGCGGGTTGTGCGGCATAGGAGCCTTGGGTGCCTTGGTGAGAAGACCCTGCAGAAGGGGAGTGGCGCGGATTGCCAGAGTCAAAGCAACAGGAGAAGAGGGAGAAGAAGGAAGAGGTGAAGATTGCGACGTCCTGCTGGTGCTGGGTGAAGGTGGTGAGGGCCCTTGTCCCTGGGGCGAGGCAGGCACCGAGACGATGTCCCGAGGCCTGGATTTCCAGGCATCGGTCACATGGGACGAGGCAGCCCAGCACCTTGCCAAGAAGCTCCGAGCTGCTGTGCCAGGACTTCACGTCCGCGTCGTCTGCGTGGCTACCGGCCCGGTCGAACCCGAAGCCGATCCGACACCTGCACAAGACCTTGCCTGCCTTGAGCCCACCGCTGCGAGCCTGTGTGCGTGTGTCAATGTGCCCAGGATGCTCAAGCTGCACAGTACAGTTCTGAGATGCATAGACGATATCTTCTGTCATGAAGAGAACGCGATAAGCACTGCAGCAGAACCCATGTGAACAATTTCGCGAACAATTTTGCACGGCACTGAAAAACGTTCCAAGTTTGCAGGAACACCTGCGAGCGTATCTCGCAATCCTGCCGAAGTCTGCTGGTTCTGACAACGCTCGACGGCGGCTCACCAGGACATCTTGTTCCGCGACAGAGTGCTGAAAGCAACGCTGGACGGAGCGCAGCGGAAGTGCTCCAACGGTGCACGGAACTATGGTCGAGACAAACATGTGAGGCGGGGCTGGGCTTACAGTTTGGAAAAGGAGTGCTTCATGTGGCGACTTCACATGTCATAGCACAGCTCCTAAGAAGTATCTGTACTGCGGGATGTAAGTGGAATGTACGAGAAGCATGGGTGCATTTTACAGGGGGCCTGGGGGTGTGGCCATGCCATTTGGGGGGAAGCGTGGGAAACTGAGGACAGCCTGTATGCGCTGCTCTTTGCCGTGCATTTCGCGGTGATGCCCGTGGAGCTTGTGGCGCAGGAGCCCCAAATAGATACAGTGGAGAAGATATTCACCCTCTGCACAAGATGTCTGTCGGAAGCGGTCGCAGCCGGTCTAGATTCCGAAGCTCGGGCCTGCCTTGCTTGCCAGAGTGGCTGTGATGTCCGCGACCAGACCCAGATGTACCGTTGCACCGTCAGCCACGAGTCTGCGCCTCTGGCCAGTCTGGTGCGATGCTTCGAGCGGCGCAGGGTTTTCGACTGCGACGCGGAAGTGCCTGATGTGCCCCTTGCTCCCCTCACTGAGTTCCAAGGCAAGCGGGTGGGTGTCGAAATGGCGTGGAAGATCATGGAGGGGCATTGGTCCATGAGCCCATCAAGCTGTTCATGGCGGCCGGTGCTAGGGCAGAACCCGGCTTATGACTACTTCCCCTGCCAGTTTAACAGTTGGTACCGAGATCCACGTGGAAACCGAGGCTGGTACGATCCTGTCTTCAAAGTCGTGACGCTTGATGGACGTGAGGTCTGGCGCAAGCGCCACTACCGCGTGCTCCCAGGAGACGTGCCTGGCAGCTTCAATCTGAGCACCGAAGACAATGGAATCTCGTTGCGGGAGTATTGGCGAATTGTGGATGCCGACGACGATTTAGCCTGGGCAGTGCTGCACTATGCCGGTGCTGCGCCAAGTGTTGGCCAAAGTTACACAGGATCGCTGCTGGTCTCCAGAGATGGCCGTCTGCCGGAGGACATTCCCTCCGCACGGATCGCTGCCGCATTCCAGAAAGCTGGTGTTGCAAAGTTTGAGCTCTATGCAATACACCAGGATGAGGAGCTAGGCGGAGACTCTGGCAAGCCACCGCTGACCGAGTTCTGCGGCTTGCGCAGGTACGCTTCACATGCGCCCTCCGCACCCTCGCAGTCTTAGCCGGGATGGCCTGAACCTTCGTTTTGCTGCTTGAAGAAGAGCTCAAGCGGCACTATAGGGCCCCTGATTGCACCCTGTAGAGAGGGATCCCTGACTAGACCCTACAGAGAGGGATGAGTAGGGAACGACACTATTGGACATTTTTTTCTAGAGGAATCCTATAGAGGTCCCCACGTCCTTATAGGGGTGAATGGTGTCCCCAAACCAAATGAATCCATGGGTCGGGGTTGATCCTATCCCGTAATTAAAATGGAAGGGCTGCTTTGGCTTGGTTTGGCTGAGGTTGTAGGGTTTGTAGCAAGGTTGCGAAGATCTCCATCTCTAAGTCTAGTAAGTCTTCTAGCTGGGGGGGGTTGGGAGGATGTGCGGGATTCTCTAGATTTCTCTAGTGTCCAGGGTTCAACTTGAGGGTTGGTGGGGTGTGTGCTTGGGGGGGTCCTTCGACCCG